ATTCAAGTTCATCTAGAGTAGCAGGATTATTGCAATAGACAGCATCTCTCAATGCGCCCCACAGAAAGAAGTCACAAGGACTCAGATCGGCTATTCTTGTGTCAGTAAATTGAGGATAATCTAAGCAATTACTCTATTCCCAAAGTATTCATGAAAAAAATGAAAACCTTTATTTGTTCGATGTGGTCGAGCCCCATCTTGCAGGAACCAGTCAATACCTGGTCGATCCTCCAATGCTAGTTGAGTGCTGACAAATTGTTCCAAAATTGTAACGTAACGTTCAGTAGTTATCATTTCTCGTACGAAAAAGGGTCCGATAATGCCTCTGGCGCATAGCGCAGCCCATGCCATAACTTTAGGCGAATGCAGTGCCTTTTTCTTCACGCAAATGAGGATTTTCAGTACCCTAAAATCTCCAGTTTTGTTTATTAACGATTCCATTCAAATGAAAATGTGCCTCATCTGTGAACCAGATGCAGCTCACATTAAATCTGCTGTTGTCAATCATTGTTAGAATCTGATTCGTAAAGTCAACCCTTTGTTGCACAGCTTTCATGGGTATGGCCTGATGACTTTTGATTTTGTATGGAAACAGCCGTAGGCTATTTTTAAATATTTTTGTGTGCTCGTGTACTTCAAACCTGTCTCTGATGCAATAGGTTGGATGCTTTTCCTAGAATTTTGCTGAACAAATCCAGAAGCTTTGGCTGCATTTTCAGGGGTGACTATAGTTTGCTTAGGCCCAACATTTCCCTTTCGATCATCAGTCACGCTGCCAGTCCATTCGAATTTCGCGAACAGCATGTGAATGATTTTCACATCGGGTCCAACTGGAACATTGAATCAGTTTCGAAAACTGCGACGTGTTGCTGTAGCACTGTGTTCTAATTGGTGAAATTCCAGAACCAAAATACACGTTGTTCAATGGAATACATTATTTTGCTTTCTACTTTAGCGTCTTTTCACTAGCCAACAGTTGTACTGATCACTTTCGACTTCGAAGCACAATTTAAAGGTTATTGATAGGTCATTGCAATTAGAGCGCCATTTGTTAACGAATTTGTTAAAATTTAGTTATGTTAACGAATTTCATAACTAAATTTTATAAACTTTTGTACACCATTTTTACAGTTTTGTTAATAAATGTACAGTTTACCGCATAATTCTATCGATCTTTGTTATAGAGATATTTAATTTTGAAATCAGGGCTTATTCGCTGATCACTCTGTAAGTGCTCATTACTGTGAACACGTTATTCCTGCCTTAAAAGAACAAGCTTGCTGTCTTCATGTGACGTAGTGCACTATCTCACATTGCTAGACTGGTGAAAGTATTGTTTCATGCCTATTTTGAAGATGATCAAGTAATCAAGAAGTTTTTCGACTGCCTGGCTTCCTTGTTCTCTGAACTTGAATTCCTGTTACTGCTCTGGGGATTCCTGAAAGATTCATGTCTATACAGGAAGCATACAGAATTAAAAGCAAGCATAACATATTATGTTGCTGCAACTGATCAGAAAACCCCTCATGCTACTGTTGAACATACTGTAACATGCTTTCAACAAATGCTGTGATTAAAGTTTTGTGTTTTTTGTTCTTCATACTCCTCTCTCGTCTGGTGGTCAAAATTTCAACTATCATTTTTGTATTGCCGTTTTCTTTTCTGCATCATCCATATAATGTATATACAGTACAAATTCCGTAATCCGGACTCGTTGGGACTTCGGCGATTCCGGTTTAGGGGTTTTTTCGGATTATAGATTTTCAATTTAAATCTGGTAAGATAGCATGCAGAAATTATACAATTAAAAATATGAAACCATAATTTATGAAATAAAGAGCAATTATGATCTAAAGGTATCAAATTTTACAAAAAAAAAAGGCTTAATATTTATTTGTTTACTTTATTAAACATTTCTTTCAATGCGCACATGTGTAATGTGTGCGCATTCTCTACACGCTTGTGTAAAGTTTGTGCATTTGAGGTCCGAATTATAAATCATTCCGGATAATGGAATCCGGATTACATACTTTGTACTGTACCAAGTTTCAGTGGCATAGGTCTAAATAGGGTAACTTTAATTATAACCACCATGTAAAAGAATCATTAATCAGCAGAAAATGTACATCGATTTTGCATCAATGCAGAAGAAAACCAAAAATCCACAGAGCACGAGAGTAGGAATTGTAGAGATTTTAGTGTATGACAAACATCAGATCATAAGAGAAAAAAATATTAGATTGGTATTAAAAACAAGAGAATAAATATTTTAATGCAGCAAAACAACTTCTATAAAGCACATAAAGGAACAGATAATTTTTTCACCCTAAACATGTTTCATAGTATTATGGTATCTAATTTTAAAACTTTTGAATGTTGTAGTTTTTTACCACTTTATTTTTTATTTTTTAAATTATATGCAGTCATTTTTATTTGATAAATTATAGTTTTGCTAATGTAAAAATTTCGAACATTTTCATCCTGAAACTAGTTTTTTGCCTTATGGTGTTTTGGTGTTCTCTACATCATCATTATGATTAAAATCTTTTTTCACTGGATTTAAAATACTGTCAGTGATTTCATTATAAATCATTAGATTGCTGTTTTTACGTTCATGCAAGCCACAATATAGTTTTTGAAATTTTTTCTTAAATGTATAATTTCTTTTACTTAATAAATAAATAAGATAAAATAGAAAAATTTATTGGATTCGAAATTCTGAGAAATTTACCACTATTAAATCTGTTTCATTAATAAACAAATATGACCATGAATTCTGCTATTTTTATAACTTAAGTGTGAATTCAAATATTTATTCTAAGAGGCTGTCGGAATTTTCTGTCCGAGGATTTTTAATCTTCCAACACATGAAAGTACATTGAGTACTTGAAACATTTTGAAAAAAGTACATTGAGATTGTATAAAGCAAGTATAAAAGCAAGGATGAAAATTCGTACTAAAAAGAGTTTGTCTTAACTAAATGGTTTGGCCCATAAAGAAAAAATAAAAAATAGTATACAATGAATATGAAAGAGTTTCAACAGCATGACATGCAAATAATTTTCTAAGAAAGAAAATGAATACATGAGATGTATTGTAAAAAGTGCTGTTAAAAAAAACTAATTAACAACCAACTGCTGTGAATATCAGCTTAAAAAATATTATCTTTTTTTTTTTTTTTTTTTTTTTTGTATGTGTATGTATTAGTTAGATGGCTTTCAATAAAATTAAGGAACTTTAAATGTACAGCTGGAGAGTATAATTTAAAATTGTTTTGGTTAGTAGTGAGCTCTCCCAGTGAAAATAACTAAATACTAGAGTATCCAGTTTGCTTTATGTGTACATATAATTCATTGTTTTACTTTTTAAGATTGTCGAAAATGAATTATTTTGGATTTTTTTTTCAGCCTAACTGCTTTTCGAAAGTCATAACTGTAGATGGTAAAAAACACATTGTGATATTTGCTCTTAGAAGGTAAGTCTTCACTTACTTCTAGTTGTTTAAATGGTGCTTAGTGCAAGGCTATTTTATGAATTAGGTGTTTCATTGAAATCTATAACATGTTATGAGAAATGCATTTCAATATGTAACCGTCATATATGTATGTGTGTATGTAAAATAAAAAATATGTAAATCAAATTTATAATTCAATTTAGCTAATAGCCCTTAATTCTCTCTCTCTATTCTAAAAATAGTAATAACTTTTCTAGACTGTGTCATATCTAGATCAACCTATGTCACATATCTTGGGATTTCTGGAGTCTAAAATGTAACTTTCTATATCTCTTCTATACAGCAGAATTCTAACTTATATTATATTTATTATATTTTTAGTAAGCTGAATGCAAAATTTTCTCTATCTTAGCCGGCAAAATTCACTAAAATATTCATAATAAATATTTTCACAAGCCCATCTTTAACAACTAGCATTATTTCATATGAACTAAAGTTCAACTGTAAAAAATGTATGTATATATGTGTGTGTATATATATATATAGAGAGAGAGATAGATAGATAGATAGATATACAGCCTTTACTGTCTGTCTATGAGAAGAGCTCCCGCCACAGCGCCTGGTGGTCACTATAGCAACAAGGCTAGTTTATTTCTATTAGGGCCAACCCAAGGGTTGCTTTATTGTTATTTTGTTTTGGGCGGCTGTTGGTTGAGGGGAAAAGAGTTATCATTTGTCTTCATGACACCCCTACAGAAAATGGGTCAAGGCTCATTTTTACGGCCATAGACAGCAGCAGACTAACTGGCGAGAGCTTTTCTTATGATAGACAGACTATACATACATATACATGTATTCATTTGGAATTTTAGCTCAATGGAGATCACGTTAAAAAGTTGTATTTTACATTTGCAAAACAAAAATTTGTATCTTGTTTTGAAAATGCAAATCTAAGATCAGTATTAAAAGAAATAAAATCTTGATGATAAGAAATATTAAATAATAGTGAGATATTTTTATACATGATAGATGATATGCTGTGTATTTAATTAATAAATCATAGTAATATCCATTCTTGTAATTCAGCATTTTGCAAATGGTTCAAAATTCTTTATTATGTCCTTGCAATTTAAAGACAAATGTTTCTTTCCCCCATCTTAAAAAAAAATGGAGAGAGAAAAAATTTTCGTCCTGAAAAATTACTTTTTTTTTTATGTACTAAATAACTTATTACAATTTAGGAAATTTGCTTTAATTTGGAGATCAGTTCCATAAATTTATATTCACAATTAGAGTGTTAGTTCATATAATAAAGTAGCTGATGTAAATATTCATATTTCTTAGTAGTAATTGGAAACTTTTTTGCTTTATAAATATATATGAGAACACTGATGTTAGAAGTGTTTATAATGAACGAAATTAAGTTGACCATGCTACCATAACTGTCCTGAAAACAAATTTTTAATTTTGTTTGCTTTGTGAAAATTTTATTTATGTCCATCTTAACAAATATATGTGTTTTGAGTATGAGAATCAAAAATTCTAATTTGTGGTAAGACTTTTTATTTATCATAGAATTTATAATTAGAAAATAGATCTTTCATAATTTTATTTTCTTAGTAACAAACTGAAATAGTTATTCTCCTTCATAGTAATGACACTTTATGCTTCACTCATGAAGTTCTACAGTCTTCATAGTGAATCTCTTCACAAATTTCAGTATTCAAAATCTAGAGGGGACAAAATATATTAGATAGTTGAGAGAAAAATGAACTGTTTGAGAATAGCAGAATTGCCAAATTCTGAAAATTCCTTCTTAGTTGTACAATATATGAAATAATTATTTTAAGTACAATTAGAAAGTACTATTGGAAACTCAAGTACTATTACTTAGTTATTAATTATTACTATTACTTAGTTAGTTACTTAGTATTAAGTACTATTAGAATCAAGTTTCATCAATAATACAAATGTTAAGCTACGTTCTATTTTATTTATTTTTTTTAAGTTTGTATGAATTTAAAATGGAATCTTGATTTGAACAAATCCATTCCACAATACATTTATTTTCTGCTAGAGCTGTAAATTATGACAGCACACCATTTTATAATTTACTAAAGATAATTTTATAGAAATTAATAGTTATTTTAATTGCTAGGATATGTAAAGGTGAAGAACTGACATATGACTACAAATTTCCTTTTGAGGAAGAGAAAATCCCATGTCATTGTAATTCAAGAAGATGTCGCAAGTATTTAAATTGAGAATCTAGGCAATAAGTAAGTATTTTCATCATTTACAATCATATATCATTATATATATATATATAAATATTTAATGTAAAAAAATTAATTTATAAAGTCCTTGTGCAACTCTTTAATAACTAGGAATGTGCAAAAATACACTAAATGACATTTGGGGGAGGTTTCCCCCCATATACTTTATTTCAGTAAAGTGTAAAAATTCAATACAACTACCACCCTTTCAGTGCTTCTTATCATGTAAAAATCAAAACGTTGTTACTATTTAAAATTGCACAAAGACACACACACACTCCTTTTCAGCTTTTAGTTTATTTATGCTGCTTGAACACTGCTAGGGAACAGCTATTCAGAGCCACCCTTCAGTACATAGTTGCAGGAAGACTTTTTGCAAAGCGAATTGTTTTGATCTCCCAGCCCACATGTAATGCAGTGTATACTGTTAGTCATATGAAATCAACCAGTTTGTATAGATATTGCATGTATTGAGAGACTACTATAAATTTTTAGCTGATACTACCATCATTTTTTTTTTTTTTTTTTTTTTTTTTTTCCGTTTGTTTGCCATCATTTGTCACGTCTATCATTTGTTTGGGTACGATTATAAATGAACAGCTGAATGCTTCACATTAGGGCAAAGAATTTGGTCAAAATAGATACAGCAAATTTATCGAAGATTCCTGTCTCTCATATTTAATTTTTTATGATCATTCAATAAATGCTGTTTTTATTGTTTTTATCTTTTCCTTACTACAAAGTATGCACCATTTCATGTTAAAAAACACTATTGTGTTTAAACTTCATATTTGGCATGTGTCTTTTCTCAGAGTAATATTCATTATGACAATAATCAGGTATGCCATTAAGTGTTCCTGTTCCATAGCAGTTCTCAAGCATTGTATTATGTATATGATACACACACATACCTGCATATATATATATATATATCCCCGTGACCCCTCACTCTGCAAAGCAGCATGAAATTGACAAACAGATTTCGAAATGGTTAAAGAAACAAATCATTAAGCCAAGCTGTTCTGATTACGCAAATAATGTGCTAAGCAGGGAAAAATGCGGTTCATTTAGACTATGCCTGAACTTAAACAACACTTAAAACCTGGTGAATCGCTTTCCGAATATTTAATTGCCATGCCAGAGTAATAACAAAATTATTTTGTATGGGTGTAAAACTATTTTTGAATTCAAAGAGAAATTAAAAATTTATGAGAAAATCTGCGTTCGAGATACAAAGAATAAGGGTTATTCAAGTACTAACACACAAAATAAAGCACACGCTATACCTAATAAGAGTACAGAACCAGCGTTTGAACGTTTGTGGCTTTGAGGTCCGGATTATAGATCATTCCGGATAATGGACGTCTGGATCATGGAAAGTTTCTTAGTCATTACGAGTTTTACATTCTAAGTATCAAGTATCTTCGCAAACAGTATTTCTACGCTTCTACATCTGTTGTTCCTACTTCAATACTTCTCTGAAATTTTGCTTTTATTACATATATATGATGAGGAAATTTGTCTCATCACTCTAGAGTGTAATTTCATTTTATAAAATTCAGAGTTATTTTGTGTGAACTACATAAAAAATTTAAATTGATATCATTAATACATAGGATAATTGATAAAAAAAATTAGTATAATTCTCCATTGCTTTCAAGCTAAAAGCACCAAATTTATGCAGTATCTTCATACACTCATGGCATGCAAAAAATAGTTTTTGAATACTGATATTAAAATAACACAAATTTGAAAGAAAAATGTTTCCTGGGGCAAAAATACAATGGCAGTTCCTGACAGTGATTCATTCTGTTTATGTGAATTTTTATGCTTAAAAAAAGATTTTTTACACAAGAAAGTTCCAACCTTCCATATATGTATTTGTTAGCACTTGGGGTATCTTATAGTCTGTTACTTTTAAAAAAGTACTTCATGATATTTTTGGTCTTCCCTCATTTACAGTCGCAATATATGCCTTTATCACTGCGCAACACTTATTTACTAAATTTGAGGCTATAGTTCAAATAAACCTTCATTCATATGCTTTTATTAAGAAGTGAAACTTGCTAAATGAAATGGAGCAAGCAAAAAAAAAGTTAGAGGATTCAACAATTTCAGCAGCTGTCATTACCATTATTAAGATGCAAGTCATAGGAGGAAATGATCTTGCAGTGTCTAGTCCAAAGTAATAAACTTTTAGAATGATTTGGAATTCTGAAAACCTGTAATCTAAAGCATCAAATTACTGAGATGGGTTTAATTTCAAGATGTTGTGAGCCAATTCTTTTTTGAGATATTCACATTTTCCAGGCGCTCGGAAGGATTTTTTGATCTCTCTACATGTATGCATCACAGTTAACACCTTGAAAGGCATACACTTTGTACAGCCACTCGACTTTCAGTTTACCATAAACTATGATACCTGTAGCCTTTTTAAGATACTGCTGTTATAATATCTTGTCTTTTGCTTTCCAAATGTATCATTGGAGTCTCAACTTTCCCAATTTAGATGGGAGACTGATTTCTGTGTAAACTCCCGCCAACCCGATTAACAGCATGTTTCTCCTGACATTTTCTTATTCTTAAAACTTCTAATGATTTTTATGTATCTTTGCTTAATGCTTTGTTATTTGTATTTTGAAAAGTGATTTTTGGGTTCGAAAGCACCTTTTTTTTTTTTGTCTCCATTACATATAAAAAGAAACCAGTAAGACATTTGCCATGCTTTTGCTTTGTTTGTGAGAGCATATGTGTCTGAAAACATCATGTTACAATTCTCCAGTGAGCATCAAGTTCTGCTGCATATATTAGCCAATGAGCACAAAACAAGGTTGTTGTTTCATTTGTCTCATCACTGAGCATTGCAAGTTTAATATGCTTTTGAGAAACAGTTTAAGAAACTGCGATCCTTTGTTGTAGTTGTGTTTGAAAAAGGGAAAATACACATCTTCTTTTAAAAAATCATACACAGATAACGTTCCTTCTATTATTTCATTAAGTACTATATTTGCAATGTGTAACGTTTTGTGTCTTTGCAGTTTTTTCGATTTCGAAGTGTATATATAGGCCAGTATTCTTAAACATGTGCATACATAAAAATGCTAGGCCAGCGGGAATTGTATTTGGGGGGTGGGGATTCTTCCACGGAAACAAAGGACCAAAAAGTTATTAATGCAGAATACCTGTTCCTATGAGAGCAGAACCTGCCACTGAATGCATCCGATGATGCTGCAGCTTTATTTAGAAAAATGTTACCTGACAGTGAAATTGCTAAGAAATACTCAAGTAGAGGGACAAAAATGTCTGCAATTGTTAAAGAAATAGGTATGAAAAATAAATCTTTAGTTATTGATTTCATTAAAACAGCTCCATTCTACCTCTCTACGAATCGAAATGCAAAACTGTATCCAATAGTTATTTCTTTTTAAGAGTCTTCAGAAATTGAATGGAATTTTACTTTTTGTCTCGATTTTAGAAGGAAATTCGACAGGCTTTAATAGCATTTAATATAGCATAAAATTTGAAAAGAAAATGCAATTTCTCTGGATAATTACTTAGCACCTGGTACTGACAATGCATCAGTAATGGTAGGCTTTTTAAAGACTGGTGAAAAGAAAGTTCAGATTTGCAGCTTATGAGGTGCACCTGTGACCTCTTAAATTTAGAAATTGAAAGAGGGGCAGCTTTTTTACCAATAAGTGTGGATGAATGCATTGTTGGTGTTAACTGTTATCTAGCAAGGAATTCTGAAAGGAGGGGGAAATTGAAACAATTCCAACAGCTACATAATAAGTGAAATAAGAAAAAATTTTCGAAACATGTATGTACATGCTGGTTATATTTAGACAAATGCTTATCTAGAATTCTCAGCCAATGGAACCCACGTTTCACATTTTTTGAAGAAAAATGCTCCTGGAGTTAAGAAAAGGGTCTATTGAAAGTTATAAGATACCTAAAGTAAATGGAGATATAGTACTAATTCTGCTGATAAAAGTGAGCAATTTAATCGGCAGTTTTCAAAATATTACTGCAAAATATAAGCATAAATATGATACAAAGTTATCTCAAAATAAAGAAATAGCTCAACAAGTAAAACATTTCCGAATTACTGTAAGTTTATCTTGTGAAGAATAAATATTTATGCTTTTGTCTTTGAACTTTAAGAAAACATTTTGGTTTTTTGTACACTCCATTTTACCATATTCAGTGGTATTAGCACAATTCTACAGTACAGAATTCCATCAATTCATGTTGTGCCATTAGTGATTATCAAAGATTATTAAAAAAACCTTTGTTTTGTCTTCTAATTAATTTATGATAAGGTAGAAAATCAGAAAAAAGAGGAAAATTTGGTAATAGAGGTTCAACTCACAAAATAGCAGAAGAACTTTCAGAGAATGCAACAGTAAGTTTTGTTTCCATGTTAGAAGCTACTTCTGCTCAGTAATGATTAC